CCTAGGGGCCTCTTCGGGCCCTCTTGGGAGCCTCTTGGGACACTCTTGGGGCTCTCTTGAGGCAATTTTGTTTGGTGCCCTCTTGGGTCGTTTTGGGGCCCTTTGGGCCGGCTTGGGGCCCTTGAGCCGTTTCACTTGACAAAAAAACGAGGGAAGCTACCAATTTGACTTTTCGCCCGCGCCTCGCCCCTCCCCTAGAACCCCTCCCTAGAGGGCTTCGCCCCACCAGAGCGTCATTGCTCGTACCTCGCACTTTCTGTTACCTGGGCCGCCACAAGAGGAACCCAGGAAGCCCCAAGGAGGCCCCAAGGAGCCCCCCAAGAGGCCCCGAAGACGCCCCAACAGGCCCCCAACGGCCCCCAAGAGTCCCCCCGAGAGGCCTCCCGCAACATCCCGACGAGCATTTTAGAGACCTATGACCCACAACCCAAGCACGGGGGCGGGATGGGCCGAAGATCATTAGACCTGGCCGGGCACAGAAACGGAAAGAGCGCTTCAGACACAGAAACCCAAATGACTCACACCACCGTTCGTACCCGGAGCCTTGGCGTTGAGAGCTTGTTACGTCACCCCTCGCTCTTGGGAGCCTTGGTGTTCAGAGATTGTTGCGTTGCCGCCCGTTCCTGAGCCTTGGCTGGGCCTTGGTGTCAGGAACTTGTTACCACCGTTCGTACCGGGAGCCCTGGCGTTGAGAGCTTGTTACGTCACCGTTCGCTCTGGGGAGCCTTGGTGTTCAGAGATTGTTGCGTTGCCGCCCGTTCCTGAGCCTTGGCTGGGCCTGGGTGTCAGGAACTTGTTACGTCACCGCTCTCTGCTGGGAGCCTTGGTCTTATCAGCTTGTTTACGTCACCGTTCGCTCTTGGGAGCCTTGGTGTGAAGAGCTTTCTGCGTTACCGATCGCTCTCTATTTGGCGTCTCTGGGCCTTCTTGGGAGTCCTATTGGGGCCCTTTTGGAGCCCTTATGGGACGCCCCTTGGGAACCTCTTGGGAGCCTCTTGGGGCTTCCTGGGGGGCTCTGGGGGCCTCCTGGGAGCTTCTTGGGGCGAAAGGCTAGACTTTTCGGTTCGTGGTCCCCCTCTTGGGGCCGTCTTGGGGCCCTCTGGGGCCGTCTTGGGCGCCTCTTGGGCCGTCTTGGGGCCCTCTTGGGCTGTTTTGGGGACCTCTTGGGAGCCTCTGGGGCCGTCTTGGGGCGGTCTTGGGGGCCTCTTGGACCGTCTTCAACGCCGTGAAAGCCGAAAAGCAGTGTATGCTAAGAACGTATCTTTTCCCTTTGGCCTCTTGGTGGCCTCTTGGGACGCCGCTTGGGGGCCTCTTGGGGGGCTCTTGGGGCCTCCTGGGAGCGACTTGGGGCGAAAGGCTAGACTGTTCGGTTCGTGGTCCCCCTCTTGGGGCCGTCTTGGGGCTCTCTTGGGCCGTCTTGGGCGCCTCTTGGACCGCCTTGGGGCCCTCTTGGGCCGTTTGGGGGGCCTCTTGGGAGCCTCTTGGGCCGTCTTGGGGCGGTCTTGGGGGCCTCTTGGACCGTCGTCAACGCCGTGAAAACCGAAAAGCCGTATATGCTAATAATAGAGATTTCCCTAAGGAGAATCAATGATTTTGGCCTCTTGGGGCCCTCTTGGGACGCCCCCTGGGCGCCTCTTGGGGGCCTCTTGGGCCGTCTTGAGCGGTCTTGGGCTCTCTTGGAGCGCTCTTGGGCCGTCTTGGAAGGGAAACCCGAAAAGCATGCAAAAACCGTAGGGAAAACTGCCAAAAACGGCCATTAGACTTTTGCGCCCGGCCCTCCCCCCCTGGAACCCCCCCTCAAGGGCTTCGCCCAAACCAGAACGTCATCACTCGTACCTCGCTCTTTCCGTTACCTGGGCCGGCACCGGAAAGAACGTTTCAGAAACAGAAACCGGAATGACTCACACCACCGTTCGTACCGGGAGCCTTGGCGTTGAGAGCTTGTTACGTCACCCCTCGCTCTTGGGAGCCTTGGTGTTCAGAGATTGTTGCGTTGCCGCCCGTTTCTGAGCCTTGGCTGGGCCTTGGTGTCAGGAACTTGTTGCGTCACCGCTCTCTGCTGGGAGCCTTGGTCTTATCAGCTTGTTTACGTCACCGTCCGCTCTTGGGAGCCTTGGTGTGAAAAGCTTTCTGCGTTACCGATCGCTCTCTATTTGGCGTCTCTGGGCCTTCTTGGGAGTCCTATTGGGGCCCTTTTGGAGCCCTTTATGGGACGCCTCTTGGGGCTTCTTGGGGGGCTCTTGGGGCCTCCTGTGAGCTTCTTGGGGCGAAAGGCTAGACATTTCGGTTCGTGGTCCCCCTCTTGGGGCCGCCTTGGGGCCCTCTTGGGCCGTCTTGGGCGCCTCTTGGGCCGTTTTGGGGCCCTCTTAGGCCGTTTTGGAGGTCTCTTGGGAGCCTCTTGGGCCGTCTTGGGGCGGTCTTGGGGGCCTCTTGGACCGTCTTCAACGCCGTGAAAGCCGAAAAGGTGTGTATGCTAAACATGAATGTTTCCCGACAGCAAAGCAATGATTTTGGCCTCCTGGTGGCCTCTTGGGGGGCCGCTTGGGGGCCTCTTGGGGGGCTCTTGGGGGGCTCTTGGGGCCTCCTGGGAGCGTCTTCGGGCGAAAGGCAAGACTTGTCGGTTCGTGGTCCCCCTCTTGGGGCCGTCTTGGGGCTCTCTTGGGCCGTCTTGGGCGCCTCTTGGCCGCCTTGGGGCCCTCTTGGGCCGTTTTGGGGGCCTCTTGGGAGCCCCTTGGGCCGTCTTGGGGCGGTTTTGGGGGCCTCCTGGGCAGTCGTCAACGCCGTGAACACCGAAAAGCCGTGTATGCTAAAAATTAATGTTTCCCGACAGGGAATCAATGATTTTGGCTTCCTGGGGCCTCTTGGGGGGCCGCTTGGGGGCCTCTTGGGGGGCTCTTGGGGCCCCCTGGCAACTGTTCGGTTCGTGGTCCCCCTCTTGGGGCCGTCTTGGGGCCCTCTGGGGCCGTCTTGGGTGCCTCTTGGGCCGTCTCGGGGCTCTCTCGGGCCTTTTTGGGAGCCTCTTGGGCCGTCTGGGGCCCTTCTGGGACGGAAAGGGCTGAACCCGCAAGGCGTACGAAAACCCGAAGGAAAACCAGAAAACGGCCATTAGACCGCATCCTTCCAACCCTCCCCCCTCCCCTGGACCCCTCCCTAGAGGGCTTCGCCCAAACACAATGTCATCTCTCGTACCTTGCTCTTTCCGTTACCTGCTCGGCATGGGGACTGAAAGCGCGTTGATTTTGTGAGGGCGCGAGGTCGCTGGCTTAGTGTATTGGAGCCTTGGTGTTCAGGCTTCGGTGCGACATGCAAAAATCGAGCAACCAGCCTTGCGAAAATCAATGCATATTGCATACCTGGGCCTTCCTGGGGTGAAGCTCTTTTTGGCCGCCTGGAGGCACTTTTGGTTGAGCAGGGACCGCCCGTCCTGGCATTCCTATAGGCCTACCACGAAATTTTCTTAGGACCCCAAGATGTTCGGATAACAAAAGCAATGCTCTTATAACAAAAACCGATGTGATAAAACAAAACAGTCCCAGCCAGAAATGTTCCAAGAACATGTCGTGGAAACCACAGAAAAAACGTTCCTAGAACATTGTTTTGGCAGGCCTGTAGGCACGCCAGGACGCTTCGCCACTGCTTGATCTTGGGAACCTTTTGGGGCGGGATGGGCCGAAGCCCATTACGGCAGGTTCGCGTCGTGCCGACCCCGGCGTTGGTTTCTGACACCGCGGGGATCGTTCAACCTTGAACGATCGGCCGCTGCCGCAACGTCCAAATCGTTCCACATCGAACGATTCTGGGTCGCCCGCGGCGTTCAACCTTGAACGCCCGCGCTGGGGTCGCCGCTGGTCGACACGACGCAAACCTACCGTAGATCCTGGAGAGAGGAGCCGACCACGGCGCGGGCGTCCTCGGGCCCCCTGCGTGGGTGCCCCCGGCTCGCGGAGACCCCGCCCTCCTCGGAGCCGGCAGGGCCCGGGGCCGAGCGCGGAGGGAGACTGGGCCTGGCGAGCAGCAGCAGCAGCAGCAGCAGCAGCAGCAGCAGCAGCAGCAGCAGCAGAAGCAGCGGCAGCAGCAGCAGGCAGTGCAGATAGATCGGCGGTGCAGATAGATCGGCGGCGAATAGCCCGCAGGCGGGCATTACACGCATTCGTCCGGGAGCCTTCTCGAAGACATGGATCATCGGCGCCCCTGAGTACATGTTTTGCTCTCCCCTGGGCTACTCGCCCCTATCGTCGCCTCTGGATAAAAGAAAGAGAGCTGTGCACGTACGGCAGGTCTGCGCCGTGTCGACCCAGGCGTTGGCTCCAGACTCCAAACACCGCGGGGATCGTTCAAGCTTGAACGACCGGCCCTCTCCAAAAGGCTGATCGTTCAAGGATGGGCCGGCTCCGGGCCACAGGCGGCGCTCAACCTCGAACGCCCGTGCTGGGGTCGCCGCCGCTCGATACGGCGCGGACCTGCGGCACACCCATTGTGGCCAGGCCCATCCTGAGCCAGGGGTCGGTCCATACGCCTCCGTTGCTTCGCCAGGGAGGTGTACACACCCATCCTGGGCCCAGGATGGATCAGTGTATGTGCCTATAGTTCTCCTCGCCCGAGCGGAGCGGCCACCCCCTTGGCCAGGGACGCCGCGGGCAACGTCCGAGCTCTGGGCGCAGGCCTCCGCGGACGCCCGCGGCAGACAATGGCCCCGGGCCCAGGCGCAGGCCTCTGGGGCCCCCTAGGGAGAACTCCTTCGCCCTCCTCCACCTCCTGCTCGTCTAAAGCGAGCAGGAAGTGGAGAAGGGCAGGTCCTGGATCCTTTTGGCCTCGAGGGGGCTGGCCTTGCCTGGGTGCGGGCGAGAAGCGAGGCCACGCCCCGTCCGTCCGAGATCAGTATGCGAGATCGCCCGTCCCAACAAACAACAAGACATCCTGCTCGTCGACGTCGTGCCGTCGTTGCCGCCGCGGCCCTCCCCCGACGCCACTGCCGCCGCCGCCATCGCCCGCCCCCGTGCCTGAAGCCGCAAGGTGCCCTTGCTGCAGTCGCCGCACACGACGCGGCCACAGGCCCGGCAGTGGTGCCGACCTCTGAGGCGTCGCCGCCGTCGCCGCCGCCGTCGCCGCCGCCGCCGCCGCCGTCGCCGTCGACAGCCGACCGAGAACGCCAGCCTCGCCGTCGCCGCCGACCACAGAGAACGCCAACGTTGCCGTCGCCGCCGCCGGGAGCGTCTGCGTCGCCGCCAGAGTCGTCGACGTCGCGGCTGGCGCGGCGGCCGCCGTCGGAGAGGGCGGCGGCGGAGGCGGGGGGGGCCCGCGGGGGCGTGCGCGGCAGGGGGCGAGGGCGGAAAGATACGGTAGTTTGAGGCGGGCAGAGGCAGGGCGGAGGCGAACAGCGGCGGGAGCAGGCAGGAGAGGGAGGGGCGGAAGGAGGAGCCCCCTTCCTCTCCTCACTCCATCCTCTCTCTCTCTCTCTCTCTTTCTTTCTTTCTCTCTCTCTCTCTTTTTCTCTCTATTTCTCTCTCTCTCTCTCTCCTTTTTGTTCCCTCCATCCCTCCCTCCCGCCCTGGCCACCTCCCTCCCATCTCGCTTTCCCCAATCCCTCCCTCCCTCCCTCCCTCCCTGGCTTCCTCACACCCGTCTTTCTCCCCTCCTGAGGGGGCGCCGGCAAGGAGGGGGGGGGGGGGGGGCGAGGAGCGGAGCAGAGGGATGGGGGGAGGAGGGCGAGGGTGGCGGAGGGAGAGGAGGAAGGAGGAGGAGAGGAGGAGGAGGAGGAGGGAGTGAGGGAGGAGGAGGAAAGAGGATGCGGAGGAGGAAGAGGATGCGGAGGAGGAGGAGGATCGGAGGAGGAGAACCGAGGGAGGAGGAGGAGGAGCAGGAGGAAGGGTAGGAGCGGGAAGGGGGGGAAAAAGGAGGAGCAGGAGGAGGAGGAGGCGGAGGAGGAGGATCGAGAGGAGGAGGAGAAGGATAAGGAGAAGGAGGAGGAGGAAGAGGAGGAGGAGGAGGAGAAGGAGGAGGAGGAGCGAGCGAGCGAGCCTCAGAGGAGCGATGCCGCCCCCCCCGCACGCCCGCGCCCCACGCGCCCCACGCGCGGTGGCGGTTCCCACGCCAGCGTGCGCCAGCGTGCGACGGCCCCGCGGGCTCCGCACGGCGCCATCAGCCTCAGCCCGCCCGCGGCTCGATGGACACCGCGATCTTGCCCGAGACCGCAGGCGCTAGCTTCTTGGCGAGCCTGGCGATGGCGGCCTTCCCCTTGGCGGAGGGGTGGCCGCAGGCAGCTGCGAAGCTGGAGGCCCTCGCAGAGCCCATGACCCCGCAGGCTGCGCACATCACGACGGGCAGCTCGCGCACCAGGTCCGCCTCGCGCTGGGGCAAGATCTTGACCAGCATGTGCGCGTCCTGGCCCGCCTGCTTCAGCACCTCGATGTGGTTGATTGCCGCCGAGACGATCGAACCAGGGCACTCGACCCATTTGCAGCGGCTGCACCACCGCTTCCCGTCTGGGCCCCTCCAGTCGCAGACGAGTTTCGCCACGGGCTCGCCCGCTGCAGCTGCCTTGGGGGCAGGGCGGTTGGCCTTGGCGACCCTGTGCGTGGTGTCCCTGCCGTCCATGACGCCGCCCACGGCGGTCACCCAAATGCCAACGCCCTCGATCAGCATGTCCGCCGTGATCAGACGACGGCGGCCTTCATGAGCGATGCGGCCAGCCTCAGCCGCCGACTTCGCAGCACGATAGGAGGAGGAGGAGGAGGAGGAGGAGGAGGAGGAGGAGGAGGAGGAGGAGGAGGAGGAGGAGGAGAGGGAGGAGACAGTAGGAGGAGGAGGGGAGGAGGAGGAAGAGAAGGAGGAAGAGGAGGAGCGGGAGAGGAGAGGAGGAAGAGGAGGGAGAGACGAGTAGAGAAAGGGGAGGATTGAAGATGATTATGAGATAGGATGATGATGATGATGATGAATATGATGATGATGATGATGATGATGAATGATATGATGATGATGATGATGATGATGATGATGATGATGATGATGATGATTATGATGATGATGATGAGGAGGAGGAGGAGGAGGAGGAGGAGGAGGAGGGCCAAGGCCATGAGGGGAATGGACGAGGCACGAGGGGAGCCTTTTGACTGGAGCGTGCCGCAAGCCATGCACGGCGTGCGGCGGGGGGGGGGGAGCACAGCACGGGCGGGCACGGCACGCCCGACCCTGCAGGCTTTTTGGTCAAAGGCCTCGCCTCGCAGAAGAGAGAGCACTTCTTGGATCCGCGGGTCGAGAGCGAGCCTCTGCCGGTCGAGGCGAAGCGGGCCGCGCACAGCTCTACTTGACAGAGGGAGGACGGGAGAAGAGAGAGCACACGTGAGGGACCTGAGGTCCCAATATCGTTACTCCCTGGACCTCTCCCTGGACCTCTCCCTGGACCTCTCCTGGGGGAACAGAGAGGTACCAATATCGTTACTCCCTGGACCTCTCCCTGGACCTCTCCTTAAATTGACAGAGGGAGGAAGGGAAGAAGCGGGTCTGACGCACGTTGTTGGCATAGCGGCCTCGCGCGGTGGCGCACGCAGAGGCCGCCCGCGCGGCGCGCCGTGCACCGGAAGCGGGGGGGCGCTCGCGCGCGCCCTCTGCGCGGGACGCGCACGCGCCGATGTCGGCGATGACGGCCCTGCTTTGTTTTCTGCGTCACTCGCGTGGGGGCCACCGCCCTAAGATCACGATGCGTCGCCCGGGTGAGGAGGCGAGGAGCGCGGCAGAAGCCGCGAGGGATGCGGGCGGGGACGACGGTCGGGCGAGGAGGAGGGGAGGAGAGGGGGGGAGCGGGAGGAGGAGAAGAAGGAATGGTGAGAGGGGGGTGGAATGGGATGGGGGAGAAGGAAGGAGGGGGAGAGGAGGGAGAGGGCGAGGAGGAGGAGGAGGAGGGTCAGAGGGCGAGAGGAGGGTAGGAGGAGGGGGGGAGGGTAAGAGGAGGGGAAGGAACAGGAGGGTAAGAGGAGGGTAAGAGGAAATTCAGAGGAGTGCAACACGAAGGGGGGGCGGGAGGGCGCGAGAGAGGGGGAGACCTCGGAAGGCTCCGAACGGCTTGGC